TAGAAATACAAAGCCCTTGAAAAACCGCCTTATGGGCCTCCCATAGAGTAGACGGAGGAGGTTACGGAGCCAACAATTATGGGTGAAGTAGGTATCAAGTCCCTGCGACAATTCATCTCTAAGATGGTCTGTGGAAAGATAGGTCTCATTAAGGCGCCAATGACAAGGTTTGGATATAACAGGGGAGAAAAAAGGTTTAAAGTCAAGGAGGCATGGTCGGACCAAGTGATGGGAATAATATCAGAAGAAACCAGAAAGTGGAAGCAATGGGGCAGAAATGAAAAAGTGGTCTAGGCGAGAATACCTACGGTGAGGGGTGGAGTAAAAAGTAAATTGTTTTATGGAGAGGATGTTTAAATCCGCCATGCGTCAAAGAGACGATGCTCTCTAATTAGTCTACAAAAGGATTTTGAAGAGGAGCATTGCCGCTTTGAGGGGGTGGACTCAAAAAGAACCTTCCTGTCTTTATGGGGGGGAAAGAATCAGATTAAAATCTCCCCCAACTATCACCTGCGAAGTGGAAAAGGAATCCAGTTCGGCAAGTGTTTGGGATAGGAATTGCAATTGACCCGTGTTAGGGGCGTATAAATTCAGCAAAACCAGGGGAGTCTCACCAAACATACACTCCAAAATAATGAAACAACCTGTCGGTCAAACTTTGGAGGAAACAACCCGAAGGGAGCAATGTGACCCAATCAAAATTGCCGCCCCGGCCTTCCCAGAAGGATCAAAAGCCGAGTAGGCTCGGGGAAAAAATCTCGAGGCAAAACGAAAGGAGCCTGTAGATTTGAAATGGGTCTCTTGGACAAAAAATGATGTCTGCTCCTGAGGATCGAAATTCCTTCAAAGCCATCCACCTTTTTTGAATAGAGTTGAGGCCCTTAACATTATATGACAGAAACCTCAAAGCCATTATAGAAAAACGGTGACTGGGCTACATGTATTAGCAAGACAAATGGATGAAGTACCATCGATGTAGTAAAAAAAAAAAAAAAGAAGAAAAAACAGAAAACATAAAACATTCAAGAAACACAACAGAAAAAAAATACACAAAGAAGAACAGGTATCTGCAGGGATATAAACTTGGGAACGTCAACTAAGCCCAAGTCGTCTAGGCCAATGGCTAGACAGTAATCGGGGGGGAGCACGACATCCGACACTTCCCGGAGGACGTCAAACCCGGCCAGAAGAAACAAAAACAAAATAACATGCACCCAGCAAGGCTATGGACGAACAAAACAGCACCAAATTCGCCACAAAAGGTCACCCTAAAAATCATCAGGCAGGTGGGTCGCTTGATCGGGAAGGGCGTGGACGTTGCGGCGTGCGTGTGGGTCTCCTCCGACCTCCGTGGACAGGTGTCCATATCTTGGAAGGGGTGGCAGAAGGAAGGGATGGAGTAGGCGGCGGCGAGGGCATATCATCTAGTAGAGGTGGAAGTCCCAACTGCTTTAGGAAAGATTCCGCCTCTTGAAGATCTCGGAGAACAACATGGGTGTTGTCCCTAACAACGACCAGCTTAAAGGGAAACCCCCAACAATACAGGACACGATGTTGCTGAAGGTGTGTAGTGATGATCGGCTTGAAAGCACGCCGCTTAGCAAGAGTAATTGGAGAAAGATCACAGAAGAGTTGGAGTTTATCACCTTTAAACTCCAAAGAAGATTTGTTGGCGGGCTGCTGATAGTAAGGCTTCTTTACTTTGAAAGTAGTGGAAGCGGACTATAACGTCACGTGGATTGGTTCCCTCAATTGGTTTGGGGCCCAGAGAGCGATGAGCCCTATCCATCCGCCAATCTGCTTCTTGAACCATGGGGGCAGTAGCGATGAAGAAGGACAGTAGATGGCAGTGCAATTGATCATCAGCAACGGATTCGGACATACCACGTATATGGATATTTTGGCGCCGTTCCCTGTTTTCCAGGTCCTCTTGCTGGAGTTGCATTTGGGACATGGAATGTTTCAGATAGGCGTTGTCTTCCTCCAAAACGTGAACGTATTGCACCAAATCATCAAACTTACTTTCCAATTTATCCGTGCGGTCCCCAATCTGGGCTATTTTCCCTCTGAGCTCATTAGCCAATTTTCCCACTTCAGCGGCTATGGAGGCGGTAATGTTTCGTAAAAAAATGTCATCTTCGGCGGATTCAGAAGGGGCGGGAAGATACCCTGGAAGTAGGATTTGATGCTGTAAGTGGAGGCGGTTATGTTTCGTAAAAATAAATTTGCAACTTGTCATCTAACGCGGAGAAGACGACTTTGTCGGCTGAGGATTCAGACTAGGGGCTGGAAGATACCCTGGAGTAGGATTATCCATAGCCTCATCCTGCTGTCGATTGGGGGTCGTGATCCCCCATTTGTGGATGGATCAGAGCAGAGGCTTGCAGCTGTGCTGGGATTAGGCAGGATGCAGTACCCTCGCGGCTGCTAGAGGTCCGGGATCGTTCCTCGGACCTCTGTCCTCACTAGAGGCCGGGGATTGCGGCCTATAAAGGAAGCGCCGCAGGTCCTGAGGCTGCGGGAAGGGGGGCTTCCAGCGCCCTATCTTCCCCATAGAAGCCTCTCCCTGGTGCTGGGCCAGGTGCACGGGGATACGTGACTCGCCCGAGGCAGAAGAACTGCAGCGGTGCGGGTGAGTCACTCCTGGCCGGGGATGAGCAGAGCTCAGCAGGACACGTCTGCCATCATCCCTGGCCGCACATGCGCCCCCTGGGGTTTTGAACCCATGACCTCATGTATAGAAGCCCAGCACCTTAGCACCTGCACCACTGTCTCAGCAGCTTGTGAGAAAGTCCAAGATGCGGGGGCCTTATATACTTTTGAGGCAACCTATCTAACCTTAGCCACCTGCTACCCAGGCCAATTGAGACATTTACTTACATGCGTGGTAACATCAAACAGCAAGAAATGACGTAGAAACCCCAAACATCACATTTTGAAAAAATCAGAGTTCCTGGAAAATAAGATGATGGTTTTTAGCGCTTTTTTTCAGTTACCTGGCGATCTTCCAGTTACCTGGCTGGATAGCATGAATAATAGCATGGAGTGACTCGATGTTGAACATTTCTACACAGATGCATTGATCCAGCTTCTTTAAGTCAATCACTGGCCTCCAGTCTCCTTTTTTTTCTGACCTATTAATAGAAGAGAGTAAAAGTCCATAATGTTTGAGTGGGAGGGACTGGTACTATCACCCTTGCAGCTGTACAACGCTTATGTACTGGTGAAGAACAGTTAATTTCTGTGCTGGCTGTATTACCCAGGTAGGGGTAAAGGAATGGGCTGGAGGACACTGCTTTAATATCCAAAAATGATTATGCTTTCTTGTAGACAGGACCCATGGATCCTGCCAGATTATTGCAAAATTGAACAACCTAGCTCCCACTACCTCCCACCTGAGCGTGCCTCACATCAAAAAGACTACTGGGAGGCCAATGGGGCAGTAGGGATTTTTGAGACTTCAGAAAGGTAGCTTGCCTACCTTTCCAGAATATTATAAAATCTCCTACTAGCAAACGTTTCTGGAACTTGGCTTGGGACCCCCTAGCCAAGTGAGCTCCCTGGTGCCTAGACCTCCTACTGTGTGGCAGAAAGCCTGACTTAACTCCAGTCACCCTTGAGATTGCCACCTCCAATTTCTGGTCAAATAGGAACTTGCTATCAATAGGTAGTTTGCAGCAACTCTGTTTTAAGGACAGATCCAGTGATCATGACTCAAGCCACAGAGCTCCCACAGCCCTGTGTATAATCAGACTGTAAAGCATGTGGATGGGTTATTTTACTTTCATATCATGCCGATTGTGATTACATTACATTATTTTACTGAGTGATGGATGGACAATGGAAAATCAAAGGGACTCATGGAATAGTTTTGACATCTGCATAAATGTAGGGATTATCCTGAAACCATTGCTGGTTTAGCCATTGGAATGTCAATTGGCATGTCTGACCTTTGATGTCACTTTACTTTGAGATGCAGAAGCTTAAATATAAAGCTGCTCCTAAAATCCCTAGTTATTTAGTCATTAACAATCACGAAATGAATTAATGGTATAACTGTTGATCTCGTTTGTAGCTTGGGCTATTTCACTTTCTGCTTTGGTCTATCCAAACAACACTTGTTGTGCATCCATCACAGTCTCTGTACACAGTAAATATTTTTAACTTATTTATATCTACCTGTTACTACTAGTGTAAAGTAGGTCAAGAAACCTGATCTGATTCCATTTCACTGGGCTTCCTGGTGATTAGAGAGATAAATGAAGACACGATGAGACATTCCTATAGAGCTACAGGAAGTGACAGTAGCAGCTGGCTTGGAGTGTCGTTGTACTTGTGTGTTCAGCAGTTCCATGAATAAGTGTGTTAGCACTTTCAGAAAAACAAGTTCAGCTCAGTCAGCCTGGGAACAAAAAGGATAGAAGACAAAACTGCTCAATTTCCATAATTTTCTCCATCATTACATAAGCAACTCCTCTTCCTCCTAAATCAAACACTTTTCTGTTTCAACGATTCATCATGACTGCAGACACCAAAGCAAGCTGGACCTAACAAACATTTAACCCTCTACAGACCTTATTTTTGGTCAACTATGGGAACTTCATTGTCAAGCCACATGCCCAAGAAACAAGAAAACTGGTGGTCATAAATTGCAAGAAGAGCAGGTATTTCCTGGTCCATTATTTGATTCAGATCCAAAAACAAAAAAAGAGCCTGTGAACTTCAACTTTGTTTTACAGGATGCTGCTGAGGTCCCCAGCTTCGTTTGGCACATGACAAAAATTGAAAAACTCAATCTGTCTCACAACAGGTTGCCTAAATTATCTCCTGCAGTAGCCAAACTGGAACAAATAGTAGTGCTCAATGTAAGTGGTAACAGAATTGTTCACCTTCCCAAGGAAATAGGTCTCTTGAGGAACCTCAAAGTTCTTTTTGTCAACATGAATTATCTGTGTGAGATGCCTGAAGAACTGAGTTTATGTAGAAAGTTGGAGGTTCTCAGCCTATCACACAATTTCTTATCAGAACTTCCTGCAACATACAATGACCTATTCAAGTTAAGGAAACTAAATCTGAGCAATAACTGGATAGTAAACATTCCTGCGTGTGTGTTCCAAATGAGGACTCTGGATTTTCTGCACCTGGGAGGAAACAAAATCGAAAACATTACAGAGAGTATTAAATGTTTAGAGAGCTTGACAATTCTGATTATTGACAATAACAAGATCAGTGTACTGCCTCGATCTATTTGTTTATTGACCTCTTTGGAACTCTTAAATTTGGATTATAACAAAATACAAACACTTCCAAATGACCTGTTTTTATTAAGAAGACTAAGACGAATTGCATGGAACCCAGTCGACAAGGGTCTTCATATTCGAAACAATCCTTTAGTGAGGCCCTTATCAGAAGTTGTAGAAGGTGGAATAGATATGCTATTCAGTTACCTTAAAGACATAAAAAAAATAAACTGAATATTTTGGATATAAGAACTGTAACTCCTCTATCTGGCATGTAAATACAGAAATGTACTATTTATTATACAAGGTTTCCATATTTAGAATTGGTGAGGCAAAGTAGCATTTGCATTTTGTTATAGTATATTTTTCAAAAATAATGTTATGAAAAATATTTAGTGTAAAATTCAGGTTACAGAACCTACTATATTTATATATAAATAAGTAATTTGACAATAAGAATTATATATTTAAAAGAAGGCCTTTTTTAAATCTGAGTTTGATATTATTTTGCAGGAATATACAGTAGAATACAATTTAGGGTGGAAACGTATGCATTTAAAAAGCATGGTGGATTTTTAAATAGTGGTGGTTAATTAGTCTAATAGCAGCTGTAATATTTGTAGTGCAGGTTATAAAATGAACGCTTTTTCTAATATAATTTTCATTTACTTTTTGTAGTAAAATAAATGTCAAGGGAATGGGGTTTTTTGCTGCTGTATAAACTGTAATGCCACCTACTGGGGAGAAACTCATAATTGTCTTATTGACCATGTGTTAAAGAAATCTGTGCTGAAAAAAGCTGCAATTGCTGATCTCCCTATGTAAAAAGCTATTTAGTTATTCTGCAGTTCCAATTAAGTGCTGTTTCAGCCACAGTTTGTAACTATATTCTTTGCTTACTATACATTTGTTCTTGGTCAGTGATCTAGAAAGCACTGAAACCAGGCACAGCCAGGGAACTTGTATCTTCAGAAAGTCAGCAATGACAGCCTACTTATCTCTTTCAATATAGGTTTCTTTTATAATGAGAGAAGAATTTAGGCTGTCACTGCAGACCTTTCTATCTAAAAACACTTGTCAGCCTATTTTGTATGCTAATTCATTGGCTTCAATACATTTTGACTCATTACGTTGTAACAAGCTTGTAGATCAGTACTTTTTTCACCTTCTATATGTTTTAAGTTAGTAACTCTGAAAATATTTAAGTCAGAGACAGCTAACATTTTCAAAGAGTACTTTTTCAAAATTAGAAACTTAATGGAGCTACACTCATCAACACATACTTCAGGTGTAAAGGTGGTGGTGAAGTCCAGGATGAAGCCATGCCACGTTGGATTTTCATCCACCTTGATATCTTATCAAATATTCTCTTCCCACAGTGCTCAGACCCAGCAGCAAACAAACATCCATAGTAAGAACAGTAGCAGTCACACAGCAACAACCTTGTTCTTTCTGTTTTTTTTCATTCTTAGTTTAAAATCACATACTGTAAAAAAAGTCTATCAGAGCCTACAGCTGTTTCATATGCTTATCACATGCATTATCACGGTCCCTTAGTGTGCACATTATTAAAGCACCTTATCATGTGCATTACCCATGTGCCTTACCGCATGCCGTAAAACACCATACTGCATGCATTACCAAAAGTGCCTTGCAGCGTACATTACCAAGGTGCCTTACCCTGTGCATTACCAAGATGACTTTCTACATGCTCTATGATGGGGTCAGCACCCAGTAGATCTAAGCCAGGTGATGGTAGATCATGGTCAGGGCTTGCTGACCCGCCATCCCAGAGCATCAAACAGAGTGCACTGCAGAGGGACTACTTGTAAAGTTGGAGTTGTAGTAGGGAGCAGGGGCCACATAAGTTGATGTCTCCTCTGTAGTACTAGTTCCTACACCCTTTCATGGTTGGTGGGTGTGAAACCTGCCAAGCACGACCCATTCAAGTGAATGAGGCCACTCTGCAAGTGCCCTGCATGGCCCCATGAGTTGTCAGTCCGTCCCTGGTAGCACCTACCAAAAGTGACAGGGGTGTAATTCCTGCTGCGGCATGTTTACATCTTTGGCTGCTGCCTCAACCGCAGGGTTTTATCACTCCTCAACTTTACATGTGAACGAGCCCCAAGAGTGCCACTACTGGATGCAACTAAAGGCTCAGTCGCTAGTGCAGCAGACACTACTGCTCCTCTGCAAAGCAATCTGAGTGTGTTTGACAGGTGGTGAGAAGGCAATATGTTGCCTCCTCAATACCTGATTTAAACCCATGATTGCTGCGCAATGCATGCGATTGTTTCAAGGTAGTACTGCACTTAGAGGTTTAAATCAGGTATGAGGAGGTGACACTGGCCAACACTGTGCCCAGTGATCTTTGACTTATCCCATGTTGTCAAGATAGATCTCCACCTCTTTAAGGTTGCCTACCCCTGCTTTACAGTATGTATTACCAAGGTACCTTATCATTTGCATTACCAAGGTCCATTACTCTGTTCATTACTAAGGCAACTTAATCTGTGCTTCTAAAATACCTTGGATAATGCATTATCAATGCCTTAGAGAATGCATTATGAAGGTGATTCACCAAGTGCATTATCAAGGTGATTCACCAAGCGCATTATCAAGGTGTCTTACTGTGTATGTTACCAAGCTCTTTATTGTGTGCATTACCTAGGTGTCCTACCACATGTATTATCAAGGTCTCTTACTGCATGCATTACCAAGGCCATTTATCATGTGCAATATCAAGGGGCTTTAATGCTTGCATTACTAAGGCATCTTACCTGTGCATTACCAAATTTCCTTGCTATATGCATTATCAAGGCCTCTTCCTGCATGCAGTATCAAGGTAATTTACCAAGTGTATTATCAAGGAGTCTTACCATGTGTCTTACCAAGGCATCTAACCATGTACATTACCAAAGTACCTTACCACATGCATTATCAAGGCCTCTTACTGTGTGCATTACCAATACAACATACCATGTGCATTATCATGGTGCTTTACTGCTTGCATTACCTTTCTGTTGCCATACTAAAGAGTCATCCATATGGAAGAAAAATATACCGGTACTTGAAATATAATTTAAATATATTCTTCCAAAAAATATTGACACATATTTGAAATGCTACAATTTTGGCCATATTCAATATATTTCAAAATATATTTCAATAAATATATATATACTGTATATACACTGCATGTTGAAAATGCGTTTTTATTACAAAATATATGAAAAATATTTTTAAAAATACATTTTAAATATACTGTATGTCTTTAAAAATACAAATCTACATTTTTGGAATGCATTTACAAATATATATAAAAATATATGACTTTTTTATATGTTAAAAAAAAATCTGAAGAGTATATTTGAAAAAAAAAAAAAATAATATATATATATATATATATATATATATATATATATATATATATATATATATTTTTTTTTTTTTTTTTTTTTTTTTTTATATAGTCTTCAGATTTTTTTAGGGTGCCTCATGCATTATGTGCCTTATCATGTGCAACACCAAGGTGCCTTGCTATGCACATTATTATTGAATCCTACTGTGTGTATTATCAAAAAAAAGTAAACTCAAAGTTAGTCACAAATTTAGGCCAAAATGTATTCTGCTACATGTTTTTGGTAAAAAAAAATCCCAATAAGTGTACATTGTTTGCTTTGTGTGAAAGTTATAGCGTCTACAAACTATGGTATAGATACTGCAATTTACACCATTTTTTGCTATACAGCGCTGCACTAGTTTAACTGACAATTGCGTGCTCGTGCAAAGCTGTACCCAAACAAAATTTATGTCCTTTCTTTCACACAAATAGAGATTTCTTTTGGTAGTATTTGATAATCTGTGTGCTTTTTATTTTTTGCACTATAAACAAAAAAAGACCAAAAATTGTGAATAAAAACTATATTTTTTACTTTCGGCTATAAAAAATATATAGTAAACTCAAACTCAGTCATCAATTTAGGTCAAATGTATTTTGCTACATGTCTTTGGTAAAAAAAAAAATCGCAATAAGTGTATATTGATTGCTTTGTGTGAAAGTTATAGTATCTACAAACTATGGTATAGATAATGGAATTTACACAATTTTTTGCTATACAGTACTGCACTAGTTTAACTGACAATTACACAGTCATGCAATATGGTACATAAATGAAATTTATGTCCTTTTTTTCACCCAAATAGAGCTTTCTTTTGGTGGTATTTGTTCACCTGTGCACTTTTATTTTCCGCACTTTAAACAAAAACAATCTTTTCTCATTTCTTTCATAAAAAATATCCAAAAAACTAAAATTTCATCATAAATTTAGGCCAAAATGTATTCTGTTACATGTTTTTGGTTAAAAAATCCCAATAAGTGTATATTGAATGCTTTGTGTGAAAGTTATAGCATTGACAAACTATGGTATAGATAATGGAATTTACACGGTTTTTACTTTTTGACTGCCTATCATATTTCTTGAGGTGCTAAAAAACCAGGACAGTACAAACACCCCCCAAATGACCCTTTTTCGGAAAGTAGACACCCTAAACAATCTGCTGAGAGGCATATTGAGTCCATGGAAGATTTATATTTTTTTCCACAAGTTTTTCGAAAATGACAAAAACATTTATTTTTTTTTTTTTACACAAAGTTTTCACTTAAATGATATATTGCTCACACAAGCCATGGGTATACCGAGTATGGAGATACCACATGTGTGAGACCTTTGTGGAGCCTAGCCACATACAGGAGCATGAAATCCAATGACCACTTTGAAAGCTGAAGGTGCGTAACTTCCTCATTTCACTTCCTCACTACCTATCACAGTTTCGGAGGCCCTGAAATGCCAGGATAGCACCAACCCCCCCCCCCCCCCCCCCCGCCAAATAACCACTTTTTGAAAAGTAGACACCCCAACCAATTTAAAAAGAGGCATGGTGAGTATTTTACAGATCTCATTTTTTCTCACAAGGTTCTGAAATATAAAAAAGAAAAGAACAAAATATGTTTTTGTTTTCTTTCTTCATTTTCCAAAAACTTGTGGCAACACATGAGACCTGCAAAATACTCACCATGCTTCTTATCAAATCCTTGGGGTGTCTACTTTCCAAAAAGGAGTCATTTGGGGGGGGGGGGGGGGTTGGTGCTATCCTGGCATTTCAGGGCCTCTGAAACTGTGATAGGTAGTCAGGAAGTGTAATGAGAAAATAAAACCCTTTAAAAGCCTGAA